TGTTGGGTACATTTCTTTTATTTCAGCAGGTCACACCTGTGGTTCCACTTCCTTCTGGCCCCCATGGATTCTGGTGACAAACTGACAGTTGTTCCCCGACAGAAGTGTGTCAATTTTCTCCAACTGCTCTCAGGGACTTTTAGGTCACAGAGGGTATAGCTCAAGCCTCGGGCTGCCTCCATATCCACGCTAGCCACCACCAGAACAGGAGCCTGCCCACTGCGTGGGGACCTGAGTGGCCGGCCTTTCTCTCCCATTGGTCCAGATTTGACGATCGCGCTTGGGGCGAGCCAGGCCCCCTCAGCCGGGACGTTGCTTCCCTTGCTCTTAGCTCTGCTCCCCATGAGCAGAATGCTTGTCAGGTTGTGGCCAGAGTGAGGCTGGGTCTCCCCCCACCTGTGCCTCCCCAACACCACACAGTTGCAACCAGGCCAGCAGGTCCCAGCCTGGCAGTGCCCCCTCCCCTCCTACACCCTGCCAGCCCTGCGCCCCATTCCTACCTGACCAGCACCATGGCTTCCTCAGGGAGCCCAAGGCCTGCTGCCTGTGCAGGTGCACAAGGATAAAATGCCACACTTCACGTTGGGTGGTGCATACCCCTTCCCTTCAAGACACAGAGCGGGGGCTGGAGAGACGGCGCAATAGAACAAGCACTTCTCTGGCATGTGCAAGGGTCTGAGTTCAATCCCCGTTTCCGGAAAAAAAAAAAAAAAAAAAAGACACAGAGCCACCTCTGCTGTGTGCCCCATCCACAGCTCTGGTCCTTGCTGGCTCTGCAACCTGGAGAGGTCCAGGAGGGCTTGCTGCCATGGGTTCCTTTATGTCCTGCCATTTCCATCTAAATGTGCTCTTGGGGTTGTCCCTCCTTGTGCCCCTCCAGGAAGCAGCTGTCTACACCCTGGCAGCTGCCTGCCCCGGCATCGTTCTCCTGCTGGGCCCAGTCACAGTTGGGCCAGTGAGCCGGCTCCCAGTGCGCTCCGGGAACAGAAAGTAGACAGCGTCTCCAGCAGCTGTGTTTCCACTCAGGACAGGAAGAGAGCCCGCAGGAGGTATGTGGACCTCAGCTCGCAGGACCTTCTCCCAGCTCTGCTGCGGATGCCTGGCAGCTGTGGACAGCAGCACCTTGCAGCCAGGCCAAGGCTTCCCCTGGTTGCCAGCAGCCGCTGCACTCTGCCTGTGCCTGGCATTCCCAGCCCTGAACACAGCAGGCCTGGGCCCCACCTGACCTGCTGCAGGCTCCTAGTGAGGACTGGATGCTAGAGGACACCCTGCCATGTGTCCCACCACGATGGCCAGGGCAACACCATGGATGAGGACACGTGTCACAAACATCTCCACATACACACTTGTGGGCACAGGTCACATGTGCATGCCTACACGCACACAAGACAAGACGTGTGCTGTAGCCATACACAAGTTCTTATCAATAGACTTGCACAGTGGGCACATGTACATACCCGGGCTCCCCTCCACACTGTGCTAGTCAGGGAGGGCAGGTGTGGTAGCGCATGCCTATAATCTCAGCAGTCAGGAGTTCCAGGCCAGCCTAGGCTACACAGTACCTTCAAGGTCAGACTAAACCACATAGTGAGACCCTGTCTCAAAAAACCAAAAGCAAACAATAACAACAACAACAACAACAACAACAAAAAAGTGACCCAGAAAAGCACAACTGTAATCTAACATTCTGGGAAGCTGAAGCAGAGCTTGGCAAGTCTGAGCCCGACCTGGACACTTGCCAAGACCCTATCTCAAAGTAAAAATCGGAAGGACTAAGGCTGTAGCTTAGTGGCAGTGCCCCCACCTAGCATGCACAAGGCTCTGGGTTCAAACCTTATACCAGAGTGACTGGAAGAGGGGCTGTGATTCTTTTCATGCCTCTGCCCTGGCGCTGCAGGGCCAATATGGCCAGAGAGCCTCGACTTTCCCAGGGAGCCCTCACACTGTCAGCCCCTCTCCCCCAGGCCTGACTTCTGCCCTTCATCCTGGCCCTGGGCAACCCCCTGGATACCAGCTGGTTATGGCCATGTCACCTGAGCCCAGGCCAGCCGGTGGTTGTGTGGCTATTTTTAAGTCCTGCTTCTGGCCTGTACCCCACCCCCCACAGTTCTGCTCCTACTGGCCACTTGCCCTGCCTGGCCCTCTCAGAATGCTGATTGGCAGTTGGTGGGGGTGGGGGCTGGGGCTAGGGCTGGGCGTATATAAAGCTGTGGTGTGAAGGAGGTGGCCGTCCCTGTCTGAGCCCCAATCCCCCACCAGCATGGCCACCCATCGTGTGGTGATGGTCCGCCACGGCGAGAGTTCCTGGAACCAGGAGAACCGCTTCTGTGGGTGGTTTGACGCGGAGCTGAGTGAGAAGGGGGCTGAGGAGGCCAAGCGGGGAGCCCTCGCCATTAAGGAAGCCAAGATGGAGTTTGACATCTGCTACACATCGGTGCTGAAGCGGGCTATCCGCACCCTCTGGACCATCCTGGATGGCACAGACCAAATGTGGCTGCCCGTGGTGCGCACCTGGCGCCTCAATGAGCGGCACTATGGTGGCCTCACGGGCCTCAACAAGGCAGAGACGGCTGCCAAGCATGGCGAGGAGCAGGTGAAGATCTGGAGGCGCTCCTTTGACATCCCACCGCCCCCTATGGATGAGAAGCACCCCTACTACAACTCCATCAGCAAGGTGGGCTTCTGGGAGGGCTCTGGGGAGCCCCAGGGTTGGGAGTCCAGGGGACACAAGGGGGCTTGGTGTCCAGGCAGGAGATGGCAGTGTCCCCATGCCCCCCAGGACCGGCGTTACGCTGGGCTGAAGGCAGGGGAGCTGCCTACCTGTGAGAGCCTCAAGGACACCATCGCCCGGGCCCTGCCCTTCTGGAATGAGCAGATCACCCCCCAGATCAAGGCCGGCAAGCGGGTGCTTATCGCGGCCCATGGCAACAGCCTGCGGGGCATCGTCAAGCACCTGGAAGGTAAGCCCACCTTGGCCATGTGCCGGGCAGGGGGGCTGCTGCTCAACCTCTGCTCTACACAGCCCCCTCCACAGCTCTTCAGGGGAGCTGAGCAAGGGCCAGGCCTGAACAGGCTGAGATCATTTAAGATGCAGATCTGTCTTACTGCTCCCTGCGTGGCACGCTGCTGGAGACAGTGCCTGGCTGTTGAGCTGAGCAAAGTGGGGTAGGCAGAAGGTGGCACCCAGCCCAAGGACACCCAGGCTCTGCATCCTGTCATGCTGTGAGACATGCAGGGGCCACTGCGGGGCTTGTAGGGCTCCTCCCTATACTTCCTGCCTCTCAGTGTGGAGTCCTGCTCCCCACACCTCCTCTAGGCAGAGCTAACAGGCAGAGAGGTGCAAAACTATGCAGCAGCTGAGGACTCCTGGTTTAAAGTGGGAGCTACCACTAAAGAACAAGATGCACTCACTGAAGGACGGGCCTTGGGGCCACAGAGTGCACCCCAAAGGACAGCGTCCTGTGCTGGTGCTCAAATACAGGGCTGTCCGGATCGGCTCAAGTGCCCTTCACACTTGCTGGACTCCAGTGAGAAAGGGGTGCCCTGAACCTGTCCCAGGGGACTGACAGGGAGACCCTGGGGATCTGGCTGGGAGCCTGGGGTAAGCCCAACACTCCACCCTCTTCTGAGGAAAGGCATAATGGCAAGTATGACTGCAGAGGGAGTGGGGTGCTCCCGACTCTCCAGGGAACATTCCCAAGGTCTCCTGCTTGAGAAGGGCAGGAGGGAGCCAACAGCAAAGGTTGAGCTGCTATTCTGGGGCAGGGGTGCTGGGGCAGGCGGGTCAGATTTCCACGGCTCCTCTGCTCAGAATTTGGAAACAGAGTGGCTAATATCCCTCCTGACCCAGCCACTTCACGCGGAGCCCAGACCCAGGCAGCACCAGCGTAGGTCACGGCTGCTGAGGGCGAGGGCTGGAGCAGCCCTGGCTATTTCTGTAGGCCACTCGGTCTTCCTGACCTCTAGGCCATCACTGTAGCCTTGCCCCAGGGACTGTTGGCACCACCAGGGGCAGCCCTGGGGCCCACAGAGGCGTCATACCCACCGTGTGGCCAGGTGGCTAAGGCTGCTGCTCCCTGGTGTAGGGATGTCGGACCAGGCCATCATGGAGCTGAACCTGCCCACGGGGATCCCCATCGTGTACGAGCTGGACCAGGAGCTGAAGCCCACCAAGCCCATGCGCTTCCTGGGAGATGAGGAGACGGTGCGGAAGGCCATGGAGGCTGTGGCTGCCCAGGGCAAGGCCAAATGAGGGTGGAGCAGGCAATAAAACATCTCTGCACACTGCCTTGAGGCCCAGGGGCCAAGCATGCTGGGGTAATTGGCTGTCCAGCTTGCGCTTTGAATTGGGGGTCCCAGCATTCCCATCACCAGGGCAGCAGCCCAGGGACCTCCCTGGCTGCTGGGCTGACTCAGCCCTAACACACAGCCAGTGCCCCACCTGCTTGTGGGGACAGATGAGAGACAGCCCAAACTCACAGGGCCTCCAGTGTTGGGAGAACCCTGGCAGGCAGCAGCATGAGGAGGGGCTGAGCTTGACTGCCACCTGGCACAAGTGGGTCCAATGATCCCTATGACACACTGGTACGGAGACTGACTGTGGTCACCTCCTGAGATCTGTGCCTCTTCCATGGCTCACTGGCCAGAAGCGCGAGGGCACCTGTGTGTGCACACCACCTGCCCACCCGACCCAACCCAACCCCACGACCCATGTATGCACGCTCATGCCCCATGAGGACACCTCCTGGGCCCTAGGGGCATGCGGCTCCCAGGTGGGTCTATTTCCACACAGGCTTATTCAGACTATGGCAGGGAGGGCCTGAGACGGGGCCTGGGGACTGCACTGCAATTCCTAGATTTGTTCCTCTGACAGTTGGATGGGTCGGAACAGAAGGCAGGAGGCAGCAGGCGTGGGCCACCAGGTTCCTTTCCCGATCCAATACCAGCTGAGGTGCACACTGGGGCCAGCAGACGTGGAGTGAATCACACGGGACACCACGCTGTGTCTTTTTGATTTTTCACACACCCAAGGTGGGAGCCGGGTCTTTCCACTACCACTTCCCACGGCACAGGGACAGAGAAATGGAGCGCAGCAGGGCAGACTCCGGTGAGGCTGCCTCCCTGCTCATGCAGTCACGGTCCACTCAGCCTTTGGTTGCACACCCCACTAAAGGCAACTGTCTGGGCCCACTGTTCCCAAGGGTCATCCTAACAAAGGTAGCCACCACGCCTTAAAGGCCAGAGAGAAAGGATAAAAGGCAAGTAGGAAGGCAGCCTCCAGGTGCCCCCACTCAAGTGATGGTTACTGGTGGTCACTGTCCCCGGGCAGGGGTCCCCCGGGAGTGGCCACAGATGTGCTTGGCTTGGCCTCCTCTGGGCCCAGGGCCAGGCAGGCAGGTGACCTGGAGGCTGTAGGTGCGTGTGTGGATCACTGGTTACTGCTGCTTCTGGATGACGCAGCCTGAGCGCCCAGGCAGCGGGTGTCCTGAGGCCTCGGCCTCCTCAGTCCCGTCCTGCCCATGCCCAGCGTTAGCTCTCAGGCCTCCTCTCCCTGTCACCAGGAAGCCTCAGCTGGGCAGGGGTGGGGACTGGCCTCCTCTCACTCAATGAGCTCCACATAGTTGGCAGGGAACATGCCGAAGTGGCCATCAGGCCCGAAGCCACGCCACCAGCCTTCATCGATCACCTCGATGCCCGTGATGAGGTTCTCAGGGTCAAAGGAGATCTCTGTGTCGTCAGCTGCAGGGAGGGCAAGGCCAGGGGCTGTACTAGGAACTGTGCTCTGGAAATGTCCCCTGCTGATACCCCCATCCTACAGGTCCCCACTGTTGCCAAGCCATGGCCTTCCAGGCAGCACCCAGGGAGGCTCCACAAGGATGGGACAGGTGGCACAGTGTCTGCCTGGGCCATGGGGGGAGCCCAGAGCCAGGGTCACCACTGCTGCAGACGGCCTTCCATCCCCAACTCACCTCCACCTCATCCTCCTGCCCCAGTCCCCAGTGCTGATCCTGAGGGACCCGGCTCTTTTGCCCCACCCTTGGGACCTGTGATCCATGCTCACCTGCCTGGTAGTCATACAGTGCCCGGGCACACAGCCCCTGCCCGCTGAGCCCCTGACCCTGCAGGTAGTGGTCAACATGCTGAGAGCCAGCGCCTTGCTGTTCTACCTGTTGGGAGCAAGAGGAGATGTCACCCTGGGCTTCGGCCTCACACCAGCTCAGGCTCAGGTATAGAGGGCTCTGTGGCACTGAGGGCACCACTGCTCGGACATGACCACAGCATTGTCACCTCTCCAAGTCAAAAGTGTACAAATCCCTCCACGCATGGACCACAACTACTACCCGGGTGCTGGTCCACAGGACTTACCACTGTGCTCTTGTAATGAGAACCCTAAGGCCCTCAACCCTGCAGTGTGCCACAGAAAACTCAGGCCTGTGGCCCCTCACTGTCCCTGCTGTGGGAACCCACCAGCGGTGGCTCCTCATAGAGGGTCTCCTGCGCCGGGGGCTCCTCATATGTGGTTTCCTCTTCCTCCTGTGTCCTATGTGGAGGGCTGCTAGGCGTCGGCTCCTCACAGACATCTGCTTGGGGGACACAGCATGTCTGCCCCACCTTCCTGCCACCTCCCTTTCCAGTGCTGTCCCTCCCAGGGCCCCATGGTGACAAGTGCCTTGCCTGCTGTGGGTCTTGTGGCAGTAGGAGCGGGCTCTCTGCCAAACGACATCTCTGGCTGCGTGAGCTGCTTCTGCAGGAAGGGGCTCCTGAGCTTGCCTGCAAAATCGCATCCGCTTCAGAAACCCACGTGCTGTCTGCACCCACTTGGGCACAGGCATCAGGGGGTGAGCTGCACCATCAGCTCACTTGTCTCTTGTCATCCCCCAACACACATCACTGCCCTGAGGGCCGGCTCAGGGACTCGAGGCTTGCCTCACCCCTCCCTCCTGGCGGAACCCAGAGCAGGGTCCTACCTGGCTGTGCACTGGACATAGAGGTGGTGGACATAGCCCGCTCCTTCTGCCTGAAAATCTCCCGTGGGTGTGAGGCTGACTCCTGGGGAACACGGTAAAAGAGCAGTGAGCTTCTCACCTCCCTGCTGCCAACCCAGAGGGCAGACCTGCAGGCTGGGTGGTCTGGGAGCCAAGGGACCCACCAGGCCTCACTGGACAAGGCCCCCAGCTGTCCTGCCCACCAGCACCTCTGATGTACCCATGTGCACCCCGGGTTTGCTGCATGGATGTGGGTTGAGTGCTGATCCAAGATGTGACACGTGTCCAGACACATGAGATCCAGCCCGAGAGACACTGCCCAGACTCACCCGTTCCTCTCTGTTCCTCGAAGCTACTTCCTGTGGTTGCTCACAAGTCCTGCTGGGAAGGGCCAGGGTGAGGACAGTTGAGGCGCTCAGTCCCCCTGCCTTGATGGAATAAGCGAGCACCAGACACTCAAGGCAGCCCCAGGCTGGCCGCCTGCCCAGGCAGGCATAGGGCAGCTCACCTCTGGGGCCCTGCCCCGCTATGCTGCTCCTGGTAGCGCTGCTCACGGCGGGCGGCCTCCTGCAGCTCCCGCTCCCTGCGCTCCTGCTCCAGCCTCCGCTGCTCCTCCTCAGCCCGGCGCTTCTCCTCCAGCCGCCGGTTCTCCTCCTCTTTCTGCAGGGACCACAGCCCAGTCAGCCCACACTACCCCATGGCCTCACAGGACCAAGATCACGGGAGACACCACATCCTTGAGCTCACCTGCCCTGTGACTGACTCAGCTGGGCCAGTGCACACAGCCTGGCTAAGCCCTGGCACTCACCTCAGCTTTAGCCCAGAAGCTGTCTTTGCCAACCCGCTTGATCTCAGACATGGCATTGGTCTTCTGGTACACAGAGCCCTGTGGGTACAGAGTGCAAACTAAGGTCAGTGGGGAGGGCTAGGCCCAGACCCAGACCCCAGAGCAGAAAGGGCCCCATCTGCAGGTTCCTGGGGCCTGGTGGCTCTGAGCCAGGTGGCTCTACATGCCCATACTGTGCTTCCTGGCTGCTGGCTCCAGCCTGAGCCAGGCCTGTAGACCAACAGGTATCTCCCTGCACTCAGAAGGGCTTTGAGTCTGGAGTCAGCTCTGACACTCTGGAATTACGCCACATGGCCAATGTCAGGGCCTGCCCAGGTCCTGACTGTGTGGTAAGTCATAGCTTCCCTGCCCCAAGTAACTGGGCCCAGACAGGGCTCTAGGACACCTGGTACAATCAACCAGGCTTGGGTCCCCATCTGTGGAAACCAGGAAGGCAGGAGGACCAGTGACATGTGGCAGCACTCACCACCGGGGCCTGCGGGCCTGTGTCCTGGAAGCGGCTGCTCTCCTTGTGGAAGCTGTAGTTGGCCCCGGAGGCCTTGGCCACCTTCTCCATGATGCACTCGGGCTCCACATCCTCCTCAGCCCGTGCATTGATGGTCACGTGGGCACCCTGCAGAAGGAGTGGTGTTCAGAAGATAGCTTTGTAAGCCAGGGAAGACAGGCCTGACTCCTTTGTCCACACAGCATGGCACCCCGTGCTACAGCCCTGGGGTGCCTGTCTGGCTGCTGGGAACCAGACCCTGCCTTGTGTGACACAGTCCCTGCCGTGGCTGAGCAGCCACCCTGGCAGCCATGCAAAAGGCCTCCTTTCCATCAAGGCACATTATTGAAGGGGCCACCTGGCAACAAGCATTTCTTACAAAAAACAAATCATTTATTCCCTCCAGAGACACAGACAGGGAGGGACCTCATGCCCTGTTCCTAAGGAAGCTGGAAGCCTCAGGGGGTGTGGCTCAGTGGTGGGGCACACACCTAGCATGAGGGGGGGCCTTGGGTTCAATTCAGGAAGCAAATGAACCAAAAACGAAAAACTCCATGACAAGAAGCCCAGAAGCCTACCTGCCAGCTACTAGATAGAAAATGGAGGTTATCTAAAGCCAGTAGCAGAAGCCAGCAGCAGAGTCACCCGGCAGTGACAAAGGCACCTGACCAGTAAGCTACAGATGACTTTCGACAAAAATGCTTTTGAAATGAAACCCCTGTGCCGCTGTGAGACCCCTGGCGCGAACACTTGTGGAGGGACACTGGACAGAAACCCAAAGGACGCACATCAGGGTGGTGGAATAGGGACTCAGTCCTTTCTCCAAGTCCTCACAGTTTTGTCTTGTCTGACAAGACAGACAGACAGACAGACAGACAGACAGACAGACAGACAGACAAAGACCAAACCGGGGCCTGGCCTTGGATCAGCTCCAGCAAGGCCCTTCAACTGCTGCTGAGGACATCCTGCTGGGACACCTCCCTGCCTCCCGTGCGCCTGCTGAGCCTGGGGACCAGGGCACGCCTGTGCTATGGGCTCGCTCCCGATCCCTGCTCCCCCGTGCCGTGGGGCCTGGGGTATCTGACTGCTCACACACACACCCCCACCCCAGCAGGCAGCAGGAAGGCCTCAGCTCTCACCTTGAGGAAGTTGGCCATGGTGCTGACATGGTTGGCGCATGCTCCCTTCCGCACATCATTCACACCCTCGCCTGTCTGTGACACAAGCATACCAGGTATGACACAGGCCTCCTCCCAAGCCACATCTCCTTCTACAAGTTTACAGACTCAGCAGCCTCACATCTCCCCCAAGAGAAACCCTCCCAAGACAAGAGCTACTCTCCCAGTGGAATCAGAGGCAGCCCCTTCCCACCTCCAAGCTGCTCTGGGACAGTGGAACTGCTGGTATCCACTGGGGGACGTTTTCTCATGCTTCCCAGCTCCTTGTGCTCCGTGGGTTCCCTGACCCTACAGCCCGCCAGGCCCTCTGTACCCTAACCCAAGGAATGGGGCAGAAACTTCCCATGACCATTTTTACTCCTTTCTGCAGGACTAATTCTGGGCTTGAGGGTGAATTCTGTGTAGTAATAGCAGTTATTCTTTTTGTTTCTTTGATTTTTTTGAGAGAAGGCCTAGCTATGTAGTTCAGGTTGGCCTTTAATTAACTATATATATATATATATATATATATATATATATATATATATCCCAGCACAGGTAATTCTCCTGCTTCAGCCTCCCAAGTGCTGAGATCACAGGCATACACAGCCATGCCTGGCTTTTTTGTGTGTGTTCAAAGTCTCACTACACAACTTGAACTTGTAGTCATCCTCCAGTTTTCAGCCTCCCAAGCTCTGGGATTATAGATGCATGCCACCATGCCCGGACTTGGTCACTGGCTCAGTATGCCTGGGAGCAAGGACAGCGCAGCAAGGGTTGCCAGGGATCGAACCCCACCCCCTGGCAGGCGCTTAGTCCACTGAGCTATCTCACTAGCCCTCCATGCCTAGCTTTAACACCAGTTCTTCTTTAGATCACTCTTCGTCTCAATTCCAAGCTCAGAGGTGTTATTTACTAAGTTAAGCAGTCAAACACTGTTCCTGAAGTCGTGTCAAAGCAGGAAAAGACATGGGACTCTCCCTGGTCGTGCAAGCCAGGACAGGTCCACGTACCCAGTTAATGAGGACAAACTTGGGCAGGCCAGAGTTGGGGTCCTTCACCCTGCAGAAGGCGTACATCACCTTCCCGCTGTTGAGCTCTTCCACCAGCTCCTCCAGGCCACCATCTGCAGAGTCACAGAAGAGTTGGTGTGGCCCCGCCCCACCTGTCTGGACACCACCACCTTCCTACCAGGGCTTCTCGCTGCACCTACCTCAGAACCACCCTGCGGCGGGCACCTGTGGTGGCAGAGCACCTCCCCGTGATGCCCAAGGCCCTGTGCATCCCCAGGGTGGCAAACAATGAAATCAGACTCCTGGGTCCCATCTCAGCCAGGCACAGCAAGCAGAGGGGGCGGGAACCAGGAATTTGATTTGCTGTCAGGCCCCTTAGGTGACATTTTAGCCACTCTAGTTTAAAAACCACTCTTCCAAACCCCCAAATTGATGTGGAAACAGAAAATAAATGCTATTTCCACGGTAGACCAGATAGCAGACTTGCAAATGGCTCTCCACACCAGCTGGGCTGTCACCTGGAATCCACGAAGAGCCCTGGACACACATGTCCTCCAGGCATCAGGGCCACTCTGGGGGCTGGACCCTTCAGTGTCCCACAGCTGACATCACTCTCCCGTGCCATGGGCTGTGCCCCCAGGCCTCCCTGCTACAAGGGGCAGGCAGGAGGGAGCTATGGGCGCACAGGCCCTGGGCCATCAACACGCTGTACACGCAGCAGAACCTAGCATGGCTCCATCAGGGCAAGAGCAGGAGACTCAGACTGCTGAGCCCTGCAGTTGGCAGGGAGTCACTGTATCACATGAGAGGATCATCCACTGGAACCCTTCTAGAAAGAAGCCGAGGCTGGGAGGAGAGCACGCAGCAGCCTGGGCGCTCTAGCAAAAGCAGCAGCAAAACCCCACTTGTCTGGCCAAGCAGAGAACGTTCTAGGCGTCCATGGAACAAAAACACCAGCTCCTGCTCGGGATGCGGAATCAGGTAGGCCAGGCGTGCCCTTCAGCCTGTGGAGAACTAGGAGAACCAGCTGGTGCAGGTCACGCCAGCATCTCTGGCTCCACCTACCTTCTAGTCTCTGCCCAGTGGTGCCCAGGAGCTGGGAGCCACACCCCCCAGAACCCCAAATAGAGTCCCTATGGCCACCTGCAGGGCCACAGCCTCTGCCCAGGGGCCCTGTGTGCACTTGCCCTTGGCTGGGACAGGACATGACTATGGGCCTTCCCCACCTGTACCAGCTTTAAGACTGGCACCCTCCAGCTGTGGCCTGAAATGCAGGCTGCCCATGCGCTGCGCAAGGCTGGCTGCTTACCCTGGAAGGCAGCAGCACTGCCCCGTGCCCAGGTCAGGAGATTGGAACAGAATGTGTGCTTCACTCACAAATACCTGAAACCCACAGCTTGCTGGCACCGGCCTGTGCTATCCAGGGCTCTGGCCACCAGCCTGCCTGGTGCCAGTCTACATCCAACAGACAGCCAGGGGACCCTGGTGTGGGCTGTGACACGGAGTCACCTGCCCTCCTAAGGGAGGTAACATCAGAGTTGAGCCACATGGAGCAGTTGTCTGCCTTCCCGAGTCCCCTTTGTCCTGCTACAGTGGCTAAAAGCCAGATGACAGGGACCAGTAACCCTCAACACACTCTCCCCTTCTTGCTGCTTGCCACCTCCTGGTGCCGAGCCCACTTGGGCCACACTCACCCCCAGTGCCAGCCACGCGGATGTCATTGCTGTTGCCCTCATAGGTAAACAGAGCCCTGAAACAAAACACAAGCTGGGTCAGGGGCTGGAGGCTCTGCCGGCTACAGGGCAGCAGACACAGGCCTGGCTCTGTCCTGCCCTGCCCTGCCCTGCTGGGACTTGCGGGGCAGGTTCTGGTGGATGCTCCACAGCTGACTACTCTGGGGCAAGTGAGCAGGGAGGGACAAACGGCGATGATGGGGAGCACACAACCATTTAGAGGAAAATGTAAGTTGTGGAGTTTTGTAGGGACCTTCTACATAGTCACGTGTGAGCTGCCCACCTAGCTGCCAGTTGTAGGAATTTGAAAAGATAAAACATAGGCCTGAACCAAAAGCACCCCTAAGGTGGAGGAAGTGGAGACACCTAGGTACCCTACGGGGCCACCTCTAAGCCTTTTATTCCTCCCTCCCTTTTTGCAGTATTACGGATGGAACCCAGGGCTTTGCCCATGCTAGGAAAGCACTCTACCACCAAGCTATGTTGCTGGCCCTCCTATAAGAACTATTTGTGAGACTCTAGAAAAGATTTTGCCTTATAAATATATGCTCCAGGGGCCAGGGAGATGGCTCAGTAGGATAAGCGTTTGACTGGCAAACGCAAGGATCTGAGTTCAATCCCTGGTTCTGCCAAAAATAAATAAATAAATAAATAAATGCTCCAGTGGTGGTAAGGAAATAGAGTAAACATCATTAAATCTGAGCCATGGAAAGGTCTTCAACCAGAATAAAGGTCACTCAAGAACATTCCAGAAGTGCTGCCAGGCATGGTGGTGCACACTTATAATCCCAACACTTGGGGGAGGGGGTGGGCTGAGGCAGGAGGATTGCCGAGAGTTTGAGGGCAGCCTCGTCTACATAGTGAGTTCAAGACCAGCCTGACCTGAAATGTATAGTGAGACCCTGTCTTAAAAGATGAAAAAAATGAAAAAGAACATTCCAGAAGAGGTGGTCTCCAAGAGGTATGCTATGCATGAGGCTCCCACAGTGAGCAAACCTGCCACCACCAACTCTCACTGAAGCACCTTGTGACCTCCCAGTTAGAGATGGGCTGGATCAAAGTTTTGGGGTAAGGGACTTGCTGATGCCACCGGGCAGTGTGTATGCCCCCAAAAGACCAAAAATATTAGAGCTGGTCAGTAAGTATGGACAGCCTACAAAGAAAGAGCTGCTGCTTCCCAGAAGAGGAATCAGAATTCAGAGGGAGATGCCCTCAAAAACAAGACCACAGGACTAGGAGAAAGATGGAGGGCTGCGGTAGCAAATGCGTGGCATGAATGATGCAGTTTGAAAGCTCTAGAAGGTTCACCACCATTCATATCGGAAGCAGATGTTCAGCCTGTTGCTCGAGCTCTCTGGAGGAAAGCCCTTTGCTACTGATAGCCACAAACCCTAGCTGCTGTGGCATGGGGACTGGCACAAGCAGCAGGGGACAGCAGCTGGTAGCTTGGCTCTCCTCAGAAGGGGTCTGGTGGTTAAGGCCAAACTCAGTGCCTGCTGCCTACACCTCAACTTCATGCCAGGCCCCAGGGCTCTACTTTACCCATCTTCATGTTCCCAGTTCAGAGGCTCATTTCCGCCTTTCAAGGAGTGCCACCCTTCTTTGAGGTCAGCATGAGAAAACACACCTTATCACTCTTTCCAAATATGAGTGCTGAGAACCTGTTTATGGGGACAGGTAAGCAGCTATGAAAGGCCCCGCCCAGGGAACTGACCTTCTAACAGGACAGAAGGAACACACACCTAAAGCTAATGTCTTGTGGAGCAGGCACATGAAGTGACATATGAGCCGCATGAGAATAAATCATGCCAAGGTCTGCGGGGAGAGGGCTACAGATAGATCTAAGATGGCGTGCTGAGGCTGTGGCCTCAAGCTTTGTGCAATGCTCCTTGCACTGTGTGAAACCCTTCCCCAAATTGGAGGCCACATCCTCCTCTTTTAATGTTCTCTACTTTTTCTGTATGGCCAGTCCAGCCTTCATTTGAGTACTGACTACATGTAACAACTCCATACCAGGGACTGGGGACAGAGGCAGGGCCTACTATACCCCTTCTGGGAAGAGACAAAGGTGACAAGGAATCCCAGGGGAACTGCCAGCAGATGTACAGTACACATCTGAAGGATATGAAATGGGAACAGGGGACAGTGACTGGAGCCTGGACTCCCCGGAACCAGGAAGGCGACTTCAGAGCAGAGCTGTGAAGGCTGGGGGGCCACCTGTGTGACAGAAGTGTGCTCCAGGCAGAGGAAGCAGCAAGGGGAAGGACTCTGAAGAGGAACCAGCTCACAAGTTTGAGGAAGAGAAAGATGGCGGAGAGGGGTGGCAAACAGGTGTGGCTACAGTGTGGTAAGCAGGAGGGGCAGTGGAAACAGGGCCATGCCTGGCAAGTCAGACGTAGAGCGAGAAGTCTGGGGTTTATTTAAAGTGCAACAGGAAGTCGCTGCAGAGCTATGGGCCGGGAAGTGAGATGGTCCAGATACTTCGCAGTGAGTGAGTGGGGACCTGCCAAACACTGCTGAGTAACTACATCAAATGGCTGTGACAATGAGGTGCAGGCCAGGGGCAGAGCAGGAATCCCGCAGAGCTGCAGGAGCCTGGGGGTGGTGAGAGGGTGAGGGTGGCATGGTTGTTGGGCAATGAGTATGGTAAGAGAGCTCAGCATCCTCAGGAGGGAGACAGCAAGTCAGCCCCAGTCCAGGTGGCCGCAGGAAGCGCTGAACCAGCAGAGGTTTCTAGGAAGACTGAGATGCCAAGGAGGTGTAGAGCAGACAAGAAAGCACCCGAAGGGAGTTGGCTGATCACAGCGGCAGAGCCTTGCTGGGCCGCAGGAAAAGGGCCCAGGAGGACCTACTAGAGGGGCAGGCGCCACAGAGTCGGCCCTGGCGCTGGCCACAGGGTGGTCCCTCCACAGCGCCACCCCCGGGAGTCCTTTTCCTTCCCCAGGGTTGGTCCCATCACTCTACCCTACTCAGCACATTTCTTAGAAATGGAAGTGCTGAAAACTGGTCAGTGAAAACAAACGATTTAATCATTGGGAAAGTGAAAGAGAATTACCATATACGGCCAGCCTGCTGCAGAAAACTGATCTGTGTGGGTGCTGCCCAGGGTTACCCCAGAAACTTATATCCAGGCTCCCGCTACTGCAAGCTCCAGTAGCTGCACGGTAAGACCTACACCCTGACGGACAGCCTAGAAGACGTCCGGGGCTGGGGAAGGGAAGATGAAACCTTTTTCCCGAACAGGTGGCCCGCATCCTACTCTTACCTTCCCGTGACTCGGACACAAAAAAGAGAAAACGAGGTCCTTATGCCCATATTCACGGTGAACAAGGGACGCTGCTCCCTGGGCCCTTTGTCAGCCTCCAGGACAAGCTCCTGTCCCCAGCCGGGGGTCGGGACGCCAGCAAAGGCCCTTCCCCGAACGCAGCCCCGCCTGGAAGGGGACGTTCTCCGAGTTCTGGACTGGGGGCTGCGGAGGACCCTTTCTCTAGGGAAGTCGGGGACTGAAAAAACCTGGCGAGGCCGGCAGGCACCAGCTGGCCGAACATCCTACCCGGAGCCCCGCCGGGCGCGGCGACCAGGGCGGGTCCGCAGCTAGCTGGTACAGGGCGGGAAGGCAAGCAGCCCCAGACCCGTGCACCCCTTACCCCTTCTCCCCCAACCTTCCCCGCCCGCGGCCCACCAGTCCGTCGGGGATTTCTCGTCGACCACCAGCCCGTAGGCCTCCTGCAGCGCCGGCCCGTTCCGGCTCAGGTTCGCCGCCATGGTCCGCCCTGCAGTCCCCGAGCTGCAGCTGCCGCAGCTCCCGGGCCGGTCTCCCCGACGGCCGGAAGCCCCGCCCCGGGGCCGGAAGCTTGGCCTCTGACGATCGGAAGCCCCGCCCCGGAGGCCGGAAGCGCGACTAGAGGCTGGCGGTCAGCGGGTCTTAGGGCCAACCGGTGCTGGCCCCGCGCTCCAGCGTTGCCTCCCGGGGTCGAGGTTCTCGGCGCTCGCAGGTTCTGTTTCAGTTGTCACAGTTAAAGCACTTTTTCGAGAGATCTCAGTTTTACGAGTCCTCCGGACGGGATCCTCCGGGCGTGTTGTGCACCCTCATCAGAAGCCAGATCTATGCACGCTTTATGAATACACAAATAAATGAATGCTAGTGAGGTCGCACCGTTACTTCTGCGCTTCTTTGCCCTCATTTGTATTTTTTTCCCCTGAGCAGTTTGAGGCCAGGTAGTGGAGGTCACAAGACAGCCTGCACCCGCTGTCACTTCCACATGGGGATGGCTGCCCCGCCAGGAAGAGGCCCATCTTGCCTCCATCCACTCCCTTACGGAGAACGCCAGTTCTTTCCATCCACAAAAGGGGCCGTACTTTCATCTTCAGGCCTACCTGAAGGGAAAGGGACCAAGACAGAACCACTTCCTTCTTGGCCATCGGGAAACAACCCCATCTTCTTGGTCCCCAGTGCCCATCCTGGGATTCCAGGACCCCCTGGAAGCACGTTTCAACGTTTCAGTCAAGTTCAAGAGATCCTAACCCTTGATACAGGACGTGTGAGGAACTTGTTTCAATGAGAATGAAAATTAAGATAGAATGAATTTATAGATAAAAGCTTTGAAGGGCAGAGAGAATAGGGAAAGGGCTTCAGCTCTTGAAGGAGAATAACTGAAGAGGGTACAGGTCTGGCAGATATCAGATTGGCCCATTAACAAAATAACGGGCTTAGCTTTCGGGGTTTCACTGGGCTAGGTTAAAAGCTAGTAATTTTCCATTGGGTCATGAGCATAGGTTTGGTTTTTGTTTTGTGGCGGACTCAGCCCACCCTGGGGTGGGGCTGGCCTGTGGTGCCGGGGATTGCACATTGGTGCCTGCGCACTTGCCTAAGCAGGTTCTTTAGACCGCTGAGCTACCTCGCCGGCCCTGAGCAAGTTTTCTTTCCCTTACTTTAGAGTATTTCTTCATAGTGCGAAATACGGATTAGTAGCTATTTTTGATGATAATGAAAGAGGATAAGGGAAGAATACATTCCATACATTAGCAAGGCCAAACAGGGAGAGAAGTCTCTACCCTCAGTAGGTAACACATGTCTAGATCTCTCCCCAGAGCCCCTTGTAGTCATAGATGGGGCTTTTTCAGAGGTGGCTGGATCCAGAGCATGTGCTGCTGAGGTTGATTAATGGTGCAGTGCTAGGATCAAGGACACTAGGATTAAGGATGTGAGTGCTGCCTGCCCTAAGAAGCCTGGAGAAGATACAAGGGATAGAAAGAGTTGTGGTTGTCCGTTGTTGCTTTGTTACCTTTTGCCCATCGTGAGCTGTTTCTCCTCTGTGATGCCTGTCTGCCATGGTACCCTGCTCTGGAGCCAGCCAATTAAGGACTGAAACCTCTACAAACTGTGAACTAAATAAGCTTTTCCTTCCTTAACTTGTGGGTATTGAGTATTTTGTGTCAGCAAAGAGAATAGTAACTAACACTCATCACGGATTAAGGTCTGAAAATCCATGTCTCCTGCCCCTTGAGGGTATGTGTCCTATTTCACCCTAACCTGAAATCAGGTTGTGCAGGCCAAAAGAGCAGGTCCCTATGTTCTGGAATTAGATCAGCTCAGTATGGCAACTGGACTCATCCATGCTTAGGGAAAAGCAGGATAACCCAAGGTCCTTGGAGAGAAGGCTGAAGGGCCTCCTGTGGTGGCAAGGAGGGGCATACATAGCCCCCTCCTCCTGCTCTAGTGTATGAGGACCCGACTCAGCCTTAAACATTACAAGTGCTTAATCCAAACTTTGATAATGCCACTTAACAGAATTAGAAAATTATGATGGCCCACTAGCAGAACCAGTCCTTGGAGATCAGATACATGGGTGGGGGTCATGGGGAGAGGGACGCTCCAAGAAGCATCTCTATGTTGCCCCCACAACATGCAGCCTGGCTAAGCTGCTGTCTTGTGGACACCCTGTTGCATGCAGCTGGGAGCCATTGAGCACACCATTCTGGAGGTTGGGGCCTTAGGAGAACCATGAAAGGGGAGACATATTTTTAAGAAAAATTAAAGAAGCACTGGCTAGCCTGATAAAAGGTTTTGCAGCGTTGTTATTTTACAATCTGTGTTTAAAACCAGGTTTTAGGGACAACAAAACCAGCAAACTGATCTCAAGGAGCGAATAGCAAGTGCCTCCTCCTCTCACAGGTGGACAGTAGGTGAAGGAACAGGCCTCTGGAAGGAATGCTGCTCAGGAGGGACTATTCCTCCGGTCTGCACAGCATCAGGCTGCTGTGTAGGGGGGCTGATAGCCACATCCTCCACTTTCCAGAACATCAACATTCATTGCTAGATGAAGAACCAGTCCAACCCTTATCTAGCATTGCAAGGGAGGATGTATATGCTCGTCAAAAACTAGCCATGAAAAGGAAGAGAGATAAGTGACTCTGCAGAGCTCAGTAGCAGGCTGATTTCAGCACCACGGACAGATCCCAGAAGGTCCTCTCAGATGGGTCCTGCGACCATCTCTGACACTGAGGAAGGCTCTCTTCTGAATTTCAGACAGAAATCTGGCCATTGTTGAGCAACCACAGTGAAGCAGTGTGGAACTCCACGTTGCTCATCTACTGCTCAGTTATATACCAGGCCTGGAAGACAGTGTACTTTGGCGTTTTATTCCTTTGTCTGAAGATTTTGACCTTTGTCATATTCTTGGAAATTCTGGGCCTTCCTAGGGTCTGATAAAGGACTCAAATCTCAGCTCCATTCAACAAACTCAGAAGCTTCTAAGGATGTTAAGGGCTATTGATTCAATATAGATCAGTTGCTTAAGATCACCCACCTTCCGATTCACAGAGGGAAAAAAAAAACCCATATTATTCCCAGTTGTGTATGTGTGAGTGACAGGGCCCCCCTCTGTAACTTAGGCTGGCCTTGAACTCACTATGTAGCCCGGGCTGATCCTGAACTCATGGCTAACTTCCTGCCTCAGCCTGCTGTTCTGGGATTACAGGTGTGGGCCACCACAGCTTTGTAGATCTGCTGTCCCGTTGTTGATCTGGGGTACATCTTGGAAGCATGATGTCTGCAGATGTGTGTTCATCTTAGAAGGATTCTGACCTAAGGAGCTTTGGCGAGCTGGATCCTGGAAACTATGACAAATGGATGACTTTCTCAGTGGAGAGAACAAGATTTGCTAGGGGTCAAGCCAGTCCTGAGAGGTCTGGCAGGTGCAAAGCCTACTTGAGGCTTGCATGAGCATGTGAACATTTTTACTAGATTCCAAAGGCTGATTTTATTTTTTCCATATGTCTCCAGCAGAAAGGACATGGCTGAGGGAATTTTGACTGACTTTGGAAAATCTGCATTTTCTGCAGTTTGAAAGAGCAGCATATAGATACAGCACCAACAGCAATCTGGGCTGGCTCTCCCCCTCTGACCTGTCTCTAGTGTGCATTAGTGCTCCCTTCCCACTCCATGGGTCACTATCTGCAAAGTGCTCTGTGTGCTGAGTGGAAATGCATGATCTAACATACCACAAGGCAGCTGCTCTGCTGAGACTGGCTAACAGCCCCTGGGAGGAGTTGAGAGTAAAGGCTCTCTCCCTATGTAGACAATGTGAACCACTGTTGGAGGGTACCTCACTAGCAGTGTATTTGGCCATAAGGTCATGGCCATAACCTGGGAGTTTCTGGTGAACCAATCTCTCACAGCCACCTTGGCTGGCCCCCTGTGCTGATCTGTGGGGCTTTCTTCCATTCACTTGCAAAGGCCATACCTGGCCTTCAGGTTTCCTAGTTTTACACCTCACCAAAGAATCACTCCCTGTGAATGGAACAGCTTTATAACCAACCCAGGAAAAACTAGGTTGGATTTGGCTTAGAGGTTTGAAGCCCCTCAACTTTCCTCCCTCTTGGGAGGCTTTGCTAGAAATTTGCCTGTTCTGAGCTAACCTAATCTCAAATCTCTTAACTTGATTGGCAAACCTGATAAATGTATTCCCACAAAAAGTCAAGCACTTAACAAGCTGCTCTTGGGGGCCGGGGAGATGGCTCAGTAGGATAAGTGCTTGACTGGCAAACGCAAGGATCTGAGTTCAATCCCTGGTTCTGAAAAAAAAAAAAAAAAAAAAAAGCTGCTCTAATAAGTAGAGTAGCTTGAAAGAATAAAGTATATTTAAATGTCAATTACCATTGGGTTATGAGGAAACCGCATTTTTATTTACACTTGAAAGAAGTCTTTCCTGATATTTGTATTCTCATTTGCGAATGGCTTACACTTGGACTTTGCGGAGGTTCCTGGCAGGAGGGGGTGGGGTCGGGGAACCCTTATCACATAGAAAAGCATCTGTATCTTTCCTGTTTTCGTACTTCTTCTCTTGCTTCTAAAAAAGAGTCACGTTTCATGCAGTGTTAAGTGCTTTATATCCTGACAGCTTCCACTTGCTGCTTCTTGGGGTGAGGAGAGAAATGCACCATGTGGATTTGCAGAGGAAGACAATGGAAGACGGAAGCAGCCACAGAAAGAGGCTTCTGTTTTCCAGCGATGCTGTCCCGATTCCCAGGAGCCTCTAGGATGCACTCAGATTCCTCAGGGTGTGGGCCTGTGGCAGACGGGATGTAAAGGAAGCTGCTATGCCCTGGATGCCCAGGGAAGCTGAGTTCTAAGGGTGAAGGGCACGTAGCTAGGGGCCAGGCTAGGCTCCCGCCTGGCGCCACTGTGAGTCGCAGGACTGTCTGAGGCTGATGGGGGAGGCGTGCACGACTCTGTCCCCCAAAAAGCAGATGACACAGGGCAGACAGACTGGTCTTGGTGTAACCAGGAAGGCTGCAGATCGTAACAATGGCTCCTGATTTGGCATCACAGATGCGACACTGTCAAAGCCACAATGGCTGAGAGTGGCACCAACACAGTGCAGCCAGACAGTGGGCAGCCAAGGCATGTGTGAAGAAGAGATGGCGCTCCATGAGTGATGCAGCCGACAGCTCACTTCACAGGGAGACAAGGGCCAGGCAAGTGAGCTTGTCCCATGAAACCTCTGAGGCACTTACATAGCATATTTCTGTGTCCACTCTTGGGCTAGTCTGTTGTACCTGAAAGAAAAAAGTAGAGGGAATGACACCCTCACTTGAAGTGGCCACATCACTGCACCAGGGCGCAGCACACTGACTAATGTGGGCAAATGCTGCTCGTCAGACATCCTGGACAGACTCCGTGGAGCAGGAACACTTTGGTCATGGCTGCAAGCCCCGTGCTCAGTGAGCTGTGATCCCCCTGTGATGACTTCATGCTGTGGAAGGCCCAATAATGCAACAAACTCCACACTGTCTCCTGGCCTTCAACACAGGTGTAGGAGAGGAAAAAAGAGCGCCTCAAGGTTCAGTGTGGGACTGTGCCAGGCTGCCCAGCACATACTCCAGTGATGCCCCTGCAGCTGGGCCATCTCTCTGTGGCCTGCCCTTCTGTTTACTATGGACAAACTGGGGAGGACACACATGGCACAGGCCTGCTGCCCACTGAGAGCAATGGCGGTGTGCATTTACCTTCACCACTGTAGAGATGGCTGGGTCCAGGGGACTGAAAGTGAGAGGAACTTATAGAGAAGGCACTGAACAAAATCACTTTGTTATATCTAAAGTAACTCCACAAATGTTAAAATAAGTACAATTTCAAATCTAATCAAATGAAGTTCATTTTAACTGTTACCAGGAAACTTCAATGACAGGAATAAGATCTATAAATGTCTCAAGAAAAAGTTAAGTGGCCTGGGAGATAGCTCAGTAGAAAAGCACTTGCCTGGCAAGCTCAAGGACCTGAGTTCAATCCTCAGTTCCACCAAAAAAAAAAAAAAAAAAAAAAAAGAGAGAGAGAGAAAGTTGGAAAAAAAACACATTCCATTCTAATCTCTTCCAACAGAAGTGAGGAGCTAAAGACCTAGCCCATCGTTCTACGCTGCGCCCAAGCACCTCCCTCTGGGCCCAGCTCTCCAGGGCTGCTGCCCCTGCTGCCAGCTCGTCCATGGCCAGCCCCTTCTCTCTCTGCTGTTGACACAGAGACTGACACCCAGTGCTAAATCCACTGTGTCTGCTCACCCAGCACCCCAGGCCTCAGCACACATGGAAGTGCTGAAGAAGGGAGTCAGAGCTCTATACCTCCAGATCTAGAGACTGATGCTCAAACCCAGAGTGAGCAGTGCGAGTCCGCTGCAGAGACAGCAACCTACTCACCTTCAACCACGCTGGCAAACTGACCATCGGCATGCCCTCCCCACCAGTTTCAGCATCACCCTCGGTCCGTCCAAGCAGACAGCCCCTCATCTTATGCTATAAACCTGAGAGTTTAATCCAGAATTTTGTCAGATTTTTCTGAGTCCATTCTTTTTCTTTTTTTTTTTAATTATTATTTTTTAAAAATTTTATTTGTGTGTGTGTGTGTGTGTGTGTGTGTGTGTGT